CACCTTTTAGAGGTGAGACCTCTTTCCTAGTGGAGATAAAATGTCCAAATCGAGCCAATTAATGAGTAAGGTGTCAACTTTTATGCCAGGGAGTGTGGAAACCTGCACCTTGTGCCACATGTGGCAACTCTTGCACCTTAAATCTGTTTTTCATGAATCTTCTAATGAATCTAAATGAACTAAACTCCTGCTTATGCATGGTGAATAAATTGTATTTTGAAATTAGTTGTGATGAAGAGTAGCACTGATATTCTGTCTCTCTTTGAATTATTGTCAACCTAGTGCATATTTCCATCACTGATTTTAACGGCACTGCTTCTTTAACCATTTGTGAGCCCTGTCTGAACACACTTTTCACCCCTCCTGGGTGTTTTAATACAAGTGCTGGCCAATCCAGTATCTCATCTCAGTGGACCATCTTCATCTATGAGCCTCTACAGTTGCTGACAGAGTCTTTTTTGTGGACCACATTGCAGCTGAGTCTCTCACTCATTTTAGAATGCAAGTCATTGGATAATATTTGGGGCGGCCAATATTGGCCATCTTTCTAAAAGCTCTCCAGGTGGAGATGCAGCTAGTTGTGCTCAGTCCAGCACTGTGTTGGCTCAGATTAGTTAACTCAATGTAGACCAAGTATCAAACCTCGATCTTCTGGGAGCGTGTGGTATGTAGTTTTCAGACATTATATATTTGGATTTCAAAAATCTGTTAACAAAGTTCTTCAGACTTCTTAAAAATAATTTATTCATGGGATGTGGAAGTCGCTGGCTTGGCCAAAATTTATTGTCCATCCCTGATAGACTTGAAGAATAAAGTGGTCATCTAGCTTCTTATACCTCTGCAGTCATGAGGGTGTGGATGCACCCACAGTGCTATTAGGGATGGAGATTCAGGATTTTGACATAGCGACACTGAAGAAACTGTGGTATAGTTTCTAATCAGGATGATGTGTGCCTTGGAAGAGAATTTGCAGGTTGTTCCCAGGCAGCTGCTGTCCTAATGCTTTCAGGTGTTAGAGATTGTGGGTTTAGAAGCTGCTGTCAAAGGAGCCTTGGGAAGTTGCTGCAGTGCACCTTCTGCACAATATATGATGCATACTGCTGCCACTGTGCTTTAGCGGTGAACATTGAAGGTGGTAAATGAGGTGCCAATCGAGCAGACTGCTTTATCCTGGTTGGTTTTGAACTTTTTGACTGTTGTTGGAGCTGCACTGTTTGAGGCAAATAGGGTGTACTCCATCACACTCTTGATTAATGCTCCCGTTAATTTTAGTTTTTCCAGCGTAAACCTCTGAGTCTTTTTTTTAATTCATTCATTGGATGAGGGTGTCACTGGCTAGGCCATCCCTAATTGCCCAGAGGGCAGTTAAGAGTCAATCACATTACTGTGGGTCGAGAGTCACATATAGGCCAGACCAGGTAAGGATGGCAGTTTCCTTCCCTAAAGGACATTAGTGCACCAGATGGGTTTTTCCTGACAATCAACACAGATTCATGGTCGTTATTAAACTCTTCATTCCAGATCTTTATTGAATCCAAATTCTACTATCTGACATGATGGGATTTAAACCCGGATCCCCAGAACATTACCAGAGTCTCTGGATTAACAGTCCAACAATAATAGCAGTACGCCATCGCCTCCCTTACAGTGCTGTGCGCAGTATATAGAAACCAGATCAGAATTGCTTGTTTGATTGATTTAATTGTCACGTGTACTGAACTACAGTGAAAAGCTTTGTTTACGACCGGTACAGGCAGATCACAGCAAGCAAGGGATATACAGATCAAAAAGACTTGGAGGCATACAGGTTACATCGCAGGTTACATTATTTGAGGCTAGAGTCCATTCAACAGTCTAATAATGGCTGGAAAGAAGCTGTTCCCGAACCTGCTTGTGTGTGTGTTGAAGCTTCTGTATTTTCTGCCTGACGGAGGAAGTTGTCGGAGGTCATTGCCAGGGTGCAGTGGGTCTTTGATGATGTTGGCCACCTTTCGTGGCAGCGAGCCATGCAAATAGAGTTCATGGGTGGAAGGTTTGTTTCCGTGATTGCTTGGACTGTGCACACCACCTTCTGTAGTTTCTTATGGTCCTGACCAGAGCAGTTGCTGCACCAGGCCTTTATGCACACAGACAGTATGCTTTCGATGGTGCATCTATAGAAGTTGGTGAGGGGCCTTACGGACTTGCCAAAATTTCCAGAGCCGCCTGAGGAAGAAGAGGTGTTGTTGTGCCTTATTGACTGTCACATTTACATGGGAAGTCCAGGACAACTCGTCAGTTACTTCATCCCTTTCTCGAATAAAGGAGTCAGGTTTGGTATTTCCAGTCTGATGGGACCTTTCAAGAATCTAGAAACAGTTCTTATACTAGGGTGCATGCATTTAAGGTGAGAGGGGGAAAGTTCAAAGGAGATGTGAGGCGCAAGATTTTTACTCAGAGTGTGGTAGGAGTCTGGAACTCGCTGCCAGGAGTGGTAGTAGAGGCAGATAATTTAGGGTCGTTTAAATGACTTTTAGATAAGCACATGAATATATAAGCAATGGAGGAATGTGGACCATGGACAGGCAGAAGGGATTAGTTTAATTTGGCGATATGTTCAGCACAACATCATGGACTGAAGGCCCCGTTCCTGTGCTATACTGTTCTATGTTCTATCCTGTATGGCTCTTCACCTATCTACTTGTGCTGACTCCATCAGGGATCATGGACTTGTACACCAAGATCCCTATCTCTAGTCCCCAGGGACCTACCATTCATTGTGCGTATCCTTCCCTTATTAGACCATCTAGATGCATCGCCTCATATTATAATTATAAGGATTAAATTCCATGCGTCATTGCTCTTCTAGGTTTACCAGCAGTTCAATATCAGACTGTTGCCTGAGACCATCTCCTCACTATCGACAACACCACGAATTTTTGTGTCATCTGCAAACTTAGTAATTATACCTTCTACATTCACATTCAAATTGTTAATTTACATAGCAAACAGTAAGCATCCCAGCACCAATCCCTATGGTACACCACTGGTCACAAGCCTCCAATCACAAAATCAACCCTTCACCAGCATCCATTGCCTCCTATTTGTATATCAGTTTTGGATTTGCCTTGGATCCCATAGGCACTTACCTTTTGGACCAGCCTTCCATGTGGGACCTTATCAAAGACTTTACAGAAGTCAACGTAAACCACATCAACTGCACTACCCTCATCAATATATTTAGTCACCATTTCAAAAAGTTCAATTAAACTAGTCAGACAGGACCTCCCTCAAACAAGTCCATGTTGACTATCGCGATCAATCCCTGCCTTTCTAAGTGTTGATTAATCCTGTCAGAATGTTTTCCAATAATTTCCCTGCACTGACATCAGACTAACTGGCCTGTAGTAACCTAGCCTATCCCTGCTGGCCTTCTTGAACAAAGGAACCACATTATCTAAAATTATCTGTCCTCCAGTCATTGGCACTTTCCTGTGGCTAGCGAAGTATGAAATATCTTCACCAGGACCCCAACAATCTCCTCTTTTGCTCCCATAGCAGCCTGGGATACATTTCATCAGTGTTTGTGGTAGCTATACATCATAAACCAGCAATCACCCCCAATCTGGCCACAATTATGAGTTTTACTGCTTCAATATATTATTGGTGATTGTAACAAAACAAGAAGCTAAGAAAGATATATGCAAAATTCATAAGATGGGACGGGGAGAAGAAGTAAGGTTTTAAAAGAATGCAACACTTAAAATATGTTGTAAATTTAAAATGCTTCTCTGTGAGAGGGGAACTACATTTTGCCAGGTCCTTAACTAGCTAGAATGAATACAGTGGCTGTTATGAATTCATGTTTATCCAAGGTGCCCACAGATGTTCAGTGATGTTAATAAGTTGCTTAGGAATCTGGTTCCTTCTCTTTACTGAAGTTGACTGTCTCTGATGTATACCTGCCATGGTTTAGTGTTTGAGATTGCATGTTTATATTCACTCATGTAAATCTATAAATATGGAAATTCTGCAACAGCCAGATCTCAAGTGCTTTTAGTGATAATATTTTAAGTATTTAATTGCACATACTATATGATATGTGTTGCATCTCGTTGGCTAATAATCATCCACAGCTGGACCATTCTGATATGGCAAGTCACCCTAGAAATTTACCTGTGTGTACTTAAGCTGGAATTTTCTTAAACAAACACTTGCTGTAAGGCCAGAAACTCTGGGCTGGATTTTTTCAGGTGGCAGGATTTCTGAAGAGTTGGTCAGGAACACATCCATATTGAAAGGAGCAGTCCTACAGGCATTTAGCACTCTGTGGAGCCTTAATTCTTTGGAGACAGGACTACCAATGCTCACTCGGAAGAAGTCCTGCCTTCAAGACTGCTGTTCAATCTGATTGCTGAATAACTTGGCGGTCCCAGCAGCTCCACATTTATGCAAGAGTCACTGCTGAGACTATAGCTGGTGTGCAAAAAAGAGGAGCTATTGGAATTCAGACTTCTGGTAAATCTGAGATATCAACAGGACCTGGCTGACAAGTCCAAGCAAAGGATTGTGAGGAGGTTGTGCCACCATGTTTGATATTTGGTGAGGTGGGTTGACCTTGTTTTGGGTGTGCCATGGAAAGTGCATGGTGGTGCCCAGATGAATTCACCTGTCGTTTGTTGAAATATGCACTCCTAAACTGCCAGATTACCCACCTGGCACGCATAACCCTCTTCCACTGCTGGTGAAATAGAAGCAGGGACTGGATGAGACAGTTAAATGGCCATTAATTTGACCACCACAGTCGAGGCTATAACGCACATTTTCTGAAACATTTCTCCCCCCTACCCCTGCTCCTTCAAATATTACATCGAAATTGCATGTTATGTGATCAAATCTTTAATGACAATCATATTTTTGGTCAGAAAGTGACTGCACAAAATCAGTATTAAACCCCAAAGGCACTGAATAAATTGTAACATATATTTAGCTGTGCAAGTCAATGTTTTTTCTGTTTTCAGCTGGAGCCACAAGTGTTGCAGGACAAGGACTGGCAGAGAACTGTCATAGCGATGAATGGGGTATGTTGCTGGGTTAAACTGTAAGTAGTGACATTGAGATAATGTATGACATTCTTTTTCTTTATTAAATATGATGTAAACTTGTTTGGATGGCAAACATCAGGAAGATAAGTTAAAAATAAAAGGTTAAAAATTACAAATGACCTGATCTGACAAGTGGAGCTAGTCTATTGGCTAATGTTGGGCTAGCTATGAATGGAAGGTCAAATGTATCAGTTTGAACACTGAACTCTCCTCCAAACAATTATTGTCATTTTGTTTTCATTTGTTTGTGGGATGAGCATCCATATCTAGGTCACCATTTATTGTTCATTCCTACTTGCTCTTAAGATGGCGGTGGTGTGCTGATTTCTCAAACCACTGCAATCCATGTGATGTAAAACACGCACAGTGATATTAATGACGAGTGGTAGGAAATTTACCCAACAGCAGCAAAGGAACGCTGATCCAGTTCCAAGTTAACTTGGTACATGGTATTTAGGGGAACTTGAATGGAAACTTCCCATGCACCTGCTGTCTTTGTCTGACAAGGTGACATGGTTCAGAAGGTGTAGTCTAGGATTAAGGACCTCTCTAAATGTTTCAAGCTTATTGTTAAAGGTGAGATTGAGAAGCCAGAAATTACTGTACACATTGGTAGGAATGACATTTGAAAAAAATTAAAGCAGTACAGAGTGAAGTTAAGAGGTTAGGTAGAAGATTTTTTAAAAATAACATTGGAAGTAGTAATTTCTAGTTTACTCACAATGCCAAACTCAAACGAGGGAAGGAACAAAAGGTTAAAGGAGATAACACAATGGCTGAAGAGCTGATGTATTGTTCCAGGATTCAGGTTTTTGGACAATTAAATTGTCTTCTGGGATAGAAAAGACCTGGTCAAAAGGGATGGGTCTAACCTAAACTGGAAAGGGACCAATATCTTAGCAGGGAGATTTGTTCATTCCATTAAAGAAGACTTTATACTGATAGAGAGGAGAGATGGAGGAATTCTAAGTAGCAGTGTAAACAGAAGGATTGATGGGCAAGGTTCTGAATGTAAGGAGAGCATGTCAATTAGAAAAGAAGGACAAGAGAGAGTCAGAGTATATAGTAACTCTGAAGAACTAAATTGCATCTATTTCAATGTAAGGTAAGGATGATGAACTTAGGGCATGTTTAAGAACATGGGTTTGGAACATCATAGCTTTTACAGAAACTTGGCTGAAAGATGGACAAGACTGATAGCTCAGTGTTCTGGGTTTTAGATGCTATAGGAAGGATCAAAAAGGAGGCAAGAAAGGACAGGCGGTGGCATTTTTGAGTAAGGAATACATTACTACTGTAACTTGGGAAGATATTTCTGAAAAATCATCCAGTGAAAATATATGGGTAGAAATTACAAATAAGAGAGGAAAGATCGCTTTGATGGGATTGTACTATTGGACCCCAATGGTAAGAGGGAAATTGAGAAACAAATATGTAGGGAGATCTGAGATATATGTAAACATAATGAGGTTGTAATAATGGGGAATTTTAATTTCCCAAACATTACTGGGGCAACCATAGTGTTAAAGACAGAATTGCTGGAAAAGCCCAGCAGGTCTGGCAGCATCTGTGAAGGAAAAAACCTGGTTCTGAGGAAGGGTCACCGGACCCAAAACGTTAACTCTGTTTTTTCCTTCACAGATGCTGCCAGACCTGCTGGGCTTTTGCAGCAATTTTGTTTTTGTCCCTGATTTACAGCGTCCACAGTTCTTTCGGTTTTTACATAGTGTTAAAGATTTGGATGGTGAAAAGTTTGTTAAATGTGTTGAAAAATTTTCTTTATCAATGTGTGGATGATTAAAGATATTGGGGTTCTAGTCAAGAATAAAAGAGAATCTTATTTTAGATATAGACAACTTAATTCAATTGAATCTCTTAATCAACATAAAGAGAGAAATCAGGAACGCAAAGAGGGGATATGAGATAGCATTGGCAGATAAGGTTAAGGAAAATCCAAAGAGATCCTACAAATACATTAAAAGCAAGAAGATAACTAGAGAGAGGATACAGTCTCTACAAGATCAAGGAGGTCGTCTTTGTGTTGAACCCCAGGAGATGGGAGCGATACTAAATGAATACCTCATGTCAATTTTTACTGTGGAGAAAGAATTGGATTCTGGAGAATGCAGAGAAATAAACTTTGATGTTTTAAAAACAGTTCACATTACAGAAGAGGAAGTTTGGGAGGTCTTAGAGAAAATGAGGATGGATAAATCTCCAGGATCTGATCTAATATATCCCAGAATGTTGTGGGGAGTAAGGGGGGAAATTACAAGACGCCTTGTAATATTTGCATCATCTATAACTACGAGTGAGGTGCCGGATGACTAGAGGATGGCTAATTTTGTACTTTTGTTTAAGAAGGGTTGTAAGGAGAAACAGAGGAACTATAGATCTATGAGTCTGACTTCAATTATGGGTAAATTGTTGGAGGTGATTATAAAAAAAATGATTTATTTAGAGAGGCAAAAATTGACTAGGGATAGTCAGCATAGTTTTGTGCGAGGAAGATCATGTCTCACAAGCTTGATTAAGCTTTTTGAAGTAGTTACCAAAAAGATTAATAATGGCAGAGCAGCAGATGTTGTTTATTTGGATTTTAGTAAAGCCTTTGACAAGGTCCTGCATGGTAGACTAACTAGTAAAGTTAGGTCATATGGGATTCAGGGTGAGCTTGCCAATTGGATACATAATTGGCTTAATGGCAGAAGACAGAGAGTAATGGTGGAGGAGATAGTAGGAACTGCAGATGCTGGAGAATCTGAGATAACAAGGTGTAGAGCTGGATGAACACAGCAGGCCATTGTGCATTTCTGAACATTTCTGAAGAAGGGTCCAGGCCCGAAACGTCAGCCTTCCTGCTCCTCTGATGCTGCTTGGCCTGCTGTGTTCATCCAGCTCGACATCTTGTTATCTCAGTAATGGTGGAGGGTTGCTTTTCGGACTGGAGGCCTGTGACCAGCAGTGATCCACAGGGATCGGTTCTGGGTCCTCTTTTGTTTGACATTTATATAAATGATCTGGATGTCAATACAGAAGGCATGGTTAGTAAGTTTGCGGACGACACCAAAATTGGTGGGATAGTAGACAGTGATGAACGTTTTCTAAGATTACAGACGGATCTTCATCAAATGGGTCAATGGGCTGAAAAATGGCAGACGGAGTTCAATCTGGGTAAATGTGAGTTATTGTATTTTGGCAAAACAAACAAGGGCAGGTCTTATACAGTTCACTGTAGGGGCCTGGGTAATGTTGTCGAACAGAGAGACCTAGGTACATAGTTCTTTGACAGTTGCATCGGACAGGGTGGTAAAGAAGGCATTTAACATGCTTGCCTTCATTGCTCATGAGAGATGGTGCAGGAGGGAGGGGTTCAGATTTTTGGGACATTGGGACCGGTTCTGGGGAAGGTGGGACTATTACAAATCAGATGGTCTACACCTGGGCAGGACTGGAACCAATGTCCAAGGGGCTGCTTTTGCTAACGCTGTTGGGGAGGGTATCAACTAATGTGGCAGGGGGATGGGAACCAAATGAGGAGGTTAGTGGACAGTAAGGAGGTAGTAACTAAAGCCTGTAAGGAACTAGATAATGAAGCCAGTGTGACTAAGGGGAAGAGTAGACAGAGAGCAGATGATGAACGCAGAGGGACAGGTGGTCTGAGGTGCATTTGTTTTAATGTGAGAAGTGTAGTAAGTAAGGCAGATGAACTTAGGGCTTGGATTAGTACCTGGGAGTATGATGTTATTGCTATTACTGGTTGAGGGAAGGGCAAGATTGGCAACTAAATATCCCAGGATATAGATGCTTCAGGCGGGATAGAGAGGGAGGGAAAAGGGGTGGAGGAGTTGCATTACTGGTCAAAGAGGATATCAGAGCTGTGCTGAGGGAGAGTACTATGGAGAACTCGAGCAGTGAGGCAATATGGGCAGAGCTCAGAAATAGGAAGGATGCGGTAACAGTGTTGGAGCTGTACTGCAGGCCTCCCAACAGCGAGCGTGAGGTAGAGGCACAAATATGTAGACAGATTATGGAAAGATGTAGGAGCAACAGGGTGGTGGTGATGGGAGATTTTAATTTTCCCAACATTGACTGGGATTCACTTAGTGTTAGGTGTTTAGATGGAGCAGAATTTGTAAGGAGCATCCAGGAGAGTTTCCTAGAGCAGTATGTAAATAGTCCAACTCGGGAAGGGGCTATGCTGGACCTGGTGTTGGGGAATGAGCCCGGCCAAGTGGTTGAAGTTTCAGTAGAGAATTACTTTGGAATAGTGATCATAATTCCGTAAGTTTTAGAATACTGATGGACAAAGACGAGAGTGGTCCTAAAGGAAGAGTGCTAAATTGGGGGAAGGCCAACTATAGCAAAATTTGACAGGAGCTGGGGAATGTGGATTGGGAGCAGCTGTTTGAGGGTAAATCCACATTTGATATGTGGGAGGCTTTTAAAGAGAGGTTGATTAGAGTGCAGGACAGACATGTCCCTGTGAAAATGAGTGATAGAAAGGGCAAGATTAGGGAACCATGGATGACAGGTGAAATTGTGAGACTAGCAAAGAGGTAAAAGGAAGCATACATAAGGTCTAGGCGACTGAAAACAAACAAAACTTCGGAAAAATATCGGGAAATTAGGACCAATCTGAAATGAGGAATTAAGAGGGCTAAAAGGGATCATGAAATATCTTCAGCAAACAGGGTTAAGGAAAATCCCAAAGCCTTTTATTCGTACATAAGGAGGTTAGGGATAGATGTTTGATTACTCTAGGTCCAGTGGGCATAAGGAGGGGGGAAGTGTTGGGTATTCTAAAAGGCATTAGTGTGGACAAGTCCCCAGGTCCGGATGGGATCTATCCCAGGTTACTGAGGGAAGCGAGAGAGGAAATAGCTGGGGCCTTAACAGATATCTTTGCAGCATCCTTGAGCATGAGTGAGATCCCAGAGGACTGGAGAATTGCTAATATTGTCCCCTTGTTTAAG